GAATCTTCAAATAATACTAAGCAAGGGGTAATAAGAGCTATTGCTGTTTACTTAATATTAAACTCTCTTGTTGCTTTTATAGGTAGTGATGGACAGATAGAGGTGTTCCTTTCGGTTTTATACAATGCCATGTCCATTTGTCTCTTGAAATTATAATCTTAATTTTTAAAAATACATTCTGTTCAAAAATCTGTGATCATGTTGATTATAGGAAACACAGTGCTTGCTTTGTTACTGTGGAACTAATTCACTTAAATAGGATCATAATCCCTTATCCACTGTTCTGAAGTCTAGAAAGCTCTGAAAGCTGATAGGTGGTGTTTTTATGTTTGCTGTCAAATCTGCTTTGGTGGTAAAGCCTAACCTTTACTGACATGGGGCTATTTAGAGACTTTATCTCATTTGGTGTGAATATTCATACATTTTGCTACAGAAATATTGTGTGAGATTATGGGGTGTTGACCCAGGGCACATTGAGGGTGTTAAGTAGTAAACTTAGTGTGCATACCCTATTGTATACAAAAAAATTCAGGAACACATACCGTCCCAAGGATTTTGGAAAAGGGATTGTATACTTGTACTATATGTTCAAATCAGCTTTTTTTTTTAAAAGATTTTTTTTTTTTTTTTTATTTGAGACAGAATGAGAGACAGAGAGCATGAGAGGGAGGAGGGTCAGAGGGAGAAGCAGACTCCCTGCCAAGCAGGGAGCCTGATGCGGAACTCGATCCCGGGACTCCAGGATCATGACCTGAGCCAAAGGCAGTCGCTTAACCAACTGAGCCACCCAGGTGCCCCAAATCAGCTTTTTAAAGTCACTATTATCATCTCCATTTTTAAAATGAAGAATGGTTTAGTTGCTTAAGGTCATGTAGTAAGTAAGTGGCAAAGATGAGATTCTAATTTGTGCAGTTCGGCTCCAGAGAACATGCTCTGAACCATTAACTGCAATGCTGCCTCTCTTACTCCTTTTCTGTGAAACCATAAATGTATAGATCAACTGTAGCATAAGGTCAACTTCTGTCAAAATTTATTTGCTTAAAACTTCAGAACTGTTGAATTACATTTTAAGCAGTGGGATATATCAGATAACCAATAAGATATATTCTGATAGTTCAGCATTTTGCTGACACTGTGAGCTCTCCAAATGTCAATATATGTGCAACGAGCTTAAAACACATTTAGAAAGATTGTAATGCACTGTAAATATGATTATATAAAATTTCAAACTTGTACAAAAGAGAGAACAGACAATGAATCCCCATATACTCATTAACATAAACTTCTTAACTGTTCAACAGTTCAGGGCCCATTTTGTTTCATTTATAGTTCACTTGTGCTTCATCTCAATCCACACTATTCAGAAGAAAACTGCAGACATAAGACTTGATTATCATGTTTAAGTATGGAACGTTCTTGTAAAAAGTACCTCATCAACTATTTGGTTATTTGCATCATGATTCATATAGGAAAGATGGGATAAATACACTTGAATCATTTTCTTCATTTACCAGTGTTCATGTTTTTTGTTTTTATTTTTTTACCAGTTTTCACATAAGAATTGGTTCCCTTTTGCCATCAGAGATGAACAATGAAGTTTTGGCTTGTGCATTTGGTTGATTGGTTGTGTCTTTTTGAATATAAGATTTAAGTATATGTGTGCTTCAAACATTACAGTTACATTTATTGATGCTTTAAATTATCTTATCTTTGGCCAGAGGAAGCCTTTTCAGATTGGTTCCTGAGTCCTTTTGATATGGCCCTCATAATCTTTGATTGCTTCCCTGCCTCCTCATGTAAGATTTTTCAGCTTCTTCTTGTACATTACCTGCCCCATATCTAAGATGATCAATTTTTCTATGGAACCCATGTTCCTTTTAATGGGAAATGTTTGCAGATCATAGTCTGGGCAAACAGGTGCATCTTGCTACAGGGTTGGTTGTTTCTAGGCCTTTTCAATGGATGATGGAGGAGAGATCTGTTTTTAACAATATGTTAATTTACATTATTACCTCCAAATTCATAACTACGGGATTTTTATATAACCTCATGAGGCTTACATCTATACCACATGCCAAAAAATTCAGCTTCAAAGATACCATCTTAATTACTCCTATTTGGTGTATCCCAACCAATATTCCCACTAACAGTTTGGTTCCTGAAAACAGTTTGTGATTTTTTTAATTCTTTTAGTCCTGAGGGTACATCCACCAGGATGTGCTAATTATGTTTCAAAGTCACTTGGGATGGTTCCTTCGTTGTGATATATGCTACAACTGGATGGCATTTATATTTAGTTTCATTTTACTTTCAATTTTTAAGGATTACCTTTTAAAAATTTTGTCTTATAATGTAAAATATTTACATGATTCTAAAGCCACTTCTATATAACGTACATCCAGAGAAGTTATCTTTTGTCCCTATACTCATATTCCCTCCTTCCCCCTATAGGTAATCATTTTAAATGTTATTCTATTTGTAAAATAACAAATATATATATATCCCCTTTCCTAGATGAATAATAACATATTACACATCCTTTGCCCACTCAATAACAAACCCTGAAGTGTATAGAGATATTTCTCAGTTCTTTTTTTTTTTTTTTACATATGCACAGTTCTACATTGTGTGGATATACCACAGTTTATTCAATCAATCTCCTAGTAATGGACATTTGAGTTTATTTTAATGTCAGTTTGGAGAAACTTTAAATTTTAAGATTGGTATTTTGGGTGGAAATTCTATGTTGCAAATGGCTGCTGCAGTATGTTAGAACTGGATCTGATGTTCTTAAAGCTCTATCATGTTTCCTCTTAGCCTGAACGACCACAACTTAATATTTAGCCATTTAAAATAGTACCACCTGTATGTCACACCAATTTAATTGGTTCGTTGTCCTTGCAATGAGACTAACCTCTTTTTAGAAACTTTTCTCATGTATTAGGTTTAAAATACATAAATACAAATATATTCAGTGACAAAAAATCTATTTTAAATGAGTGCAATTCATTTTGAATCAACTAACAGGAAAGCTACATTTCCTGTACATGACAAAAATAGGATGGTGACAAGCAAGCTGAGAAAGCACTTTTAAAATTATTGCCCTTATTGGTATGGGATGGGCAAAGTATATGACATAATAGAGCAGTAGTTCCCTTAGACACAGTCTATTACATGAAGAGTAAATGAGTTAATACTGTAAAGTGCTTTAGAATTATGCCTGCAGGCGCCTGGGTGGCTCAGTCCTTAAGTGTCTGCCTTCCACTCAGGTCATGATCCCAGGGTCCTGGTCGGGCTCCCTGCTCAGCAGGAAGCCTGCTTCTCCCTCTCCCACTCCCCCTGCTTGTGTTCCCTCTCTCACTGTCTCTCTCTCTCTGTCAAAACATAAAAATAAAATCTTTAGAATTATGCCTGGGACATGTCAAATACTACATGTGTCTTTGCAGTATTATTTGAAAAAAAAAATCCAGATAACATTCCTTATCTAGCAGATTACTAATGGAACTTGTAACACTTCTCTTAACAGCATCTTAAACAAAATATTTAAAAAGCATTTAAGCCTTCGGAAACAAACTTGTTTCTTTACTATCATATTAATAGTGGTGACTCTATGTGTCAGCGCGTAAGTTTATCTTGATGTTATCAACCTTCCTTTAATCAGTTCAAGTTGAATCCGTAATGATCAACTCTACTATGCTCTTTAGTAGACAGCATACTAGAACCAAGGGTGTCAAGACCGAAGACAGTGTAGGAGACGGGCGTTCAAATAACTATGATAAAATAATATAATTACAAAGGAATTCAAATAATTATAATACAACGATAAAACTTAACGCAAAGCAGCATTTGAACTTGTCGAGTTTCCGGGAAGTACGGAGAGGGGCAAGGACCCTGCTGTATAATGTACGAGGACCCCAGAGAATCCCCACCACCAGTAAGTGCTGCCCACTTGGTCCGCGCCCTACATTTGGAAGTTAGGGCGGCAACTTCTGTCCTGATTAAGAAAACAGTAACCAGCCGCGTCAGTGCGACGCAATCAGAACGGAGATGAGAAGTAGAGTCAGGTGTCCTAGTGTCCTCTAAGCGCCTTATCTCCTTCCCCCCAGGGGGCCAGGCCAGCCTGGTGACCCCGCTTCCCTCTCCGGCTCGGCTCAGGCGGCCGGCTCACAGGCTCCCGCACTGCCCGCCCGCGGGGGAGCGCGACCAGGAACAGACCGAGCCCCCGCCCCTCTCTGCCGCCCCGCGTCCGGCCGTGCGCGCCGAGCCCCGGCTCCCGCCCC